TTCATGTCGGGGCTCACCCCGATCACCATTTTACACCAAAAAAATAAATAAATAAATAAATAAATAAATAAATAAATAAATAAAAATAAATAAACAAAAACAAGCCTAGAAACATTAGCTTACTAGCTAGTTGTGTATAAAATGCTACAATGTTTTAAAAATATCAAAATGTTATCTTTGGTACTGCAGGAAGCCCATGTTCCAACCCAAATGAAAATACATCATACAACATCTTACCAGCGAAACCAGGCGACCTACTTTCCGTGCTTTCACCCTTGTCATTGCCGCCTGCACCGGCCCCTGCACCAGTACTTGGTATTGCAGATGTTGTTGACCCGCCACTGTCCAATATCTCCGCTTTCACGCCTGCCTCTACGCCAGCTGGAAAATCAGGTTCGAGAGGTGCGAAAAATGTTGGTAACACCGGTTTTTGTCTAGTTGCTGTCATTTTGCTGTGTCTACTTTCTGTGTGATCTTGAAACTGGTTAGATTGGCTAGTACTACTTGTCTTTCTTCCCTTGTCCCAATCCCACTAGGATTTTCGGTTCCTTGAGGTTCATTTTTTCAGTTTGATTTTGTGTTTTGTTGTATATAAATTTCCTGTGTAGTCTTTATCTGTGATTCTGGGTGAGATCTTATAGGAAGTTCATACCAGAACCAATTGGTGTCACTTGAACACACTAAAAGGAGGCAAAAAAAATATTTATTGCATATAATTTTTTATGTTAGTAGAAAAACTTAATATGGCTGACACCATTGAAAAAAAGTCTGAGCCCTTTTTGGATGAGTAATTCTTGACATTGATACTGCATTTTGTGTGTTGAATCAAGACATTCATTTAAGTTACTGTTTTATTGAGCTTAATTGAAAAAGCTCATGTATTTGTATTTTTTATTTTATTTTATGGATTAGATTGTCATTAAAATGATGAAAATACCCAAATACGGGTACTATTGAGGAACTTCTATAGATCACAAACACTTTTAATAAATTTTAAAGCATTTTTTACACATTTCTAAGCACTTCTTTTTCCACACGTTGAGACTTTTCATCACTTGTGTTGCCATTAGTATTTCCCTTTTAAAATTGTGAACAGATGTTAGCCTCCGTTTGGGAAGTAGGTTGGCTTTTTGGCTTTTTGGCTTTTTTGGCTATTTTAGCCTGGGCTAAAAAGTTTGGTTTGGGAAGGGGTTTTTGGCTTTTTTGGCTTTTTTTGTGAGAGAAGAATGTAATGATTATGGGTTGGATGGGATATTTTGTTTTTTGTGGCTAAAATAGCCTATTTTGTCTTTTGTGGCTAAAATAGCCAAAAAAGCCCCGTTTAGCTCTTGCCAAACGGAAAATTATTTTTTATTTATAGATTGAGAAGTTCAAAATTAATTTGTTGATTTATATGTATATGTGATGAAATTGTAAGTGTGAGAATGTCATTCAATAAAATTTATTCGAGTTGCATAGAGGAGTGATAGGTTGGAACAATATCTATTTTCTATGAAACATGAGATTTTGACAAACACATGTCATATTTAGTTTCAAATATTGATGCTCTATTGCAATTTTTTTTCCTTAGCTTTGGAAAAACAAGTAGTGTATGAATTAGTGATAGGTTGGAACGATATCTATTATCTATGAAACATGAGGTTATGACAAACACATGTCATATTGAGTTTCAAATATTGATGCTCTATTTTAATTTTGTTCCTTCGCTTTGGAAAAACAAGTAGTGTATGAATTAGTGAAGGGGAAATTGCAATTTAGTGAAATTTTCACAAAATAATTTTAGATTAATGGTAAATTTTATAACATAATTAAACTTTTAAATTTTATCATGAATCTATAATTATTTTGTGAAAATTTCACCAAATCGCAATTTTCTCAATAGTTAATTGGAATGTATCAAAGTCGTTCTTAATAATATATATATATATATATATATATTTCTGGTCAAAGATAGCGTTATTATGTTATTATAGTTAAATTATAACTGAAAGAGTTTGTCGCTGCTCCGTCAACTTGCATCTCTGACCTCCCTTCACCACATCCTAAAGTGTGATATGAAGAGTTTCAATTTGTGAAGATACAAAGTACTGCAGATTATGCTTTGGTCACTTCCAAATTCATTCATAGTTACTATATGGAAGCAGAACAAATTTCAATGTGTTTATAACTAAAACCCAGTTCAAATCTTCCTCGTCGATTACTCTTCCATAGGGCTATAAATGAATCAACTTGTTCGTGTGCTCCGCTCAGTTTGGTACATTAAGTAAAGATTCATTTAGTAAGCAAATCAAGCTTGATCTCTATTAAGTTTGTTTATCTTTATTTAAATTATAAAATCAATACATTATTTATATATTTAAACAATGTAAATAATAATTTTAAAAAAATCATTATCGAGCTTCGACCCTAACCCGAGCTAGATGATCGATCCAGCAAAGTTCGATTCGGCTCGGTTCGTTTGCATCCCTTCTATTAACTACTCAAAGCTCATTCCAAATTAGGTTAGGCTTATTTTAAGTTTAAATACTTGAAAGGGCTCGTGAGACTCATCATGAGTTTTGTTTATTATTGATTTTGTGGAGTTTTTTTTTTTTGTATATATCATTAATAAAAAAAAAAGATTATCATAACCTTTTTTTTCATGCCACAAAATAAAAAAATTACGAATATCAAATTGACTAAAAAAAGTTCATCAGAACCTTATAAAGCAAACAACTCGAATCATCAAAATTGACAACTTAAACAAGAGGAATATTCTCCAACTATATATTATCAATATTTAAATGTTGTCTTTAACACCATAGACCCATTTTATTTTCTCATATTGCATTTAAGTCGCTTGAAATTAAGTTGTTTAGTAATTTTTTTGTTGATTTTTTATTAAATTTTTAATAAAAATAATTAAAATTTTTTAAAATAGTTTAAACTTTCAAAATCTACTCCACTAAATAAACTAAAATAATTACTAAAGACAATAAAAAATTAAGGTAAATTACAAATAAATACAAAAATCTAGAGTTTGACCTTTATAACAAAATAAATTCTAAATTTTTTATTTTGTCAATTTAAACTTTCATATTTTAATTTAAATTGTTTGTCTATTTTCATTAAATAAAATTAATAAAAAATATTTTAGTTATTAAACTCAATATAATATACATAAAATGTCTAAAATATCATATTATGTTGAGTTTAATAACTAAAATATTTTTTCTACCAATTTTAATTAATAAAAATAAACAAATAGTTTGTATTGAAAATAAATAAAAAAAATTAAATTGACAAAATTAAAAATCTTAATTTATTTTGTTATAAAGATCAATTTTTAATTTTTTTCTAACTTTTTAAATTCTACACTAGATGATGGGAAGAAAAATGAAAAATTTATCCATAATTTCATAGGGGGAAATATTGATCCATTTGGTCATAAATGTTTTCTTGTCAACCAATCAATCCTTTTTAGTTTGGAAAGTTGTATTTATTTGGTTTGGTGTCATTTGAGTTTAAATGAATGCCCTTTTGTGATTCATATTTCCAATTTTGTGATTCTTTTTTAGATAGGAATGAAAATGTGAGGTGTGGAAGCTTTTTTTGAAAAGGATTGGTGGTTGAATGTTAGTTGTCGAACGTGAAAATTTACATTTCTGTTGGTGTGATTTTTTAGTGTTACATTGGAGTGTTATATTAGAGTGTTACGTTTGAAAGAAGTACACTAAAGAATTCTTGTGTTACATTGATTGGAGTGTTACGTTTAGAAAAAAAAATAAGGAGTTTTTTAGAATGTTTCGTTGTTACATTTGAGAAAAGTACACTAAGAAAGTTTTTAGTGTATTATATTGAATTATTATGTTTTTGGAGTGTCACGTTTGAAAAAATTACACTAAAAAATTTGTGTTTTACATTGATTGGAGTGTTACGTTTGAGAAAAGTATACTAAAGAACTTTTTTGGAATGTTAGAAAAGTACACTAAGGAGTTTTTTAGTATGTTATATTGGAGTGTTACATTTTTAAAATGTTAGATTAGAATGTTATGCTTGAAAAAAGTATATTAAAGATTTTTTTTATATTTTAGATTGGATTTTTTTTGAAGTGTTATGTTTAGTAATTTTAATATAATGAGAAAATTTACATTTGTCCCCTCAACACATAACATAGGCACGACTGTTTTACACTAAAATGAGACATTTGGATCTATAAGAAAAAAAAGGACCAAATAATTTAGGGTTTTTTTTTAAGGTCCCTGGTATTATGATTTTATAGCATAAAAGACATTTAATATTTTCATAATGTCTAAGGTCCCTCAACATTGATCTAGAGAAATTTCAGTCCAGAGAAATTCCAACCTAGAGAAATTTTAGCCCAGAGAAATTCCAGTCCAGATAAATTTTAGCCCAGAGAAATTCCAGTCCAGAGAAATTTCAGCTCAGAGAAATTCTGGGCTTCCAAAGATTTTCTCTGGGTTCAAGACTTTGAACATTCAAATTTCTCTGGAACCATTGACTAACATAAAAAAAAAAAAAAAAAAGAAAATTCAATTCAGAAAAAACTCAATCCAACTCAGAGAATTTCTCTGGTTCAAACTAGAGAAATTCAATCAAAATCATAGAAAATTCAATCTAAATCAGAGATTTTCTCAGGTTCAAATAAGAGAAAATTTAATCCAACTCTGAGAATTTCTCTGGTCCAAACCAGAGAAATTCAATCAAAATCATAGAAAATTCAATCTAAATTAGAAAATTTCTCAGAGAATTTCTCAGGTTCAAATCAGAGAAAATTCAATCCAACTCTAAGAATTTCTCTGGTCCAAACCAAAGATATTCAATCAAAATCATAGAATTTCTCTAGACTTCCCATCTAGAAATTCTTTTCAAATTTCTCTGGTTTGCAAATTTCTTTAGTTTTCTCCCAGAGAAAAACACAGTTTTCTCTGTGTTTTGAAGAAACCAGAGAAAATTGTGATTGTTTTTCTAAGAAGCATTAGTAACAAAGAGTATATATATACCTGATATGTATGAAGTTTGACATAGATGAGCGGCATCCTCTGATTTGCATTGCTGTAATGCTTCAGAACGCTGTACATAGTCTCAGGGACATATTCCATGATCAAATTCAAGAAAAGCTCGTCTTTACTTCTTGTAGAAAAGAAATAGTGCTTCAAAGAAACCACATTTGGGTGATCCATCAAACGCAGGTCTGAATAATAGTGTTTTCTTGTCTGGTAAAGGGTTGAACCGAAAACCCTAATTTGGACAGAAAGGAAGTCCATGACTTGACAAAGAAGAACCCTAGCAATCTGGCGGCAACGTTGAGGGAGCGAATGATGCCGACAGTGAGATTGAGCTTGTGGGTGATGATACAGAAGAGTCCACCCAACACAGTGCTCGTAACCAATCCTTTGAAAGTAATCTGGTCTTTCCATTCTGGAATACTTTCCAAGTCATCATCGTCCCTAACCTTCTTCTCAGCTTCTTGTTCAATAATCAATGGCTCTGAGATCTCAACAGTTTGAGTCCCCATTGTTACCTAATCTTCCAAGAATTTAGAAAAATTGGATTGGAGGGAGATTCTCTGAATCAGAATATAAGGCGGCGTTTGATGGAGAGCTGATTGGTGTTCTCTTCGTGGTTGATTTGAAGGTCGATGTCGCCATCGTTGATCAAGAAGGGACTGTTTTTCCAAGAATGGAGAGAATGGAGTAGGTGATGAAGATGATAAGGATGAGTAGGAGAGAAAGGACTGTTTTTCCGATCATCTTCATTTTCTCTCTCT